GATGGAACTTGAGATTTCATCTGGAAACAAGCAGGAGAAAGGATCAGGAGGAAGTGGTTTATACAAGCAGCACTGTCCTGGATGGCCCCTATAGCCTGTCCCCCAGCCCCTTGCATTTGGGGCTGCCAGACAGTGACTCAGTGAATTTTACTGGGGACCCACTTTGTAAAGGAGACTGAAGTCACAAGGGCACACCGTAAGAGGGAGAAGATACCCCACGCCCCATCTTAAACGCCAAGGAACTCAAAAACAGGATGAAAAGACAAATAAATGCAGATACACCAAAGTGGCCCAAATGGATACACACAGACGTGACCAATGACAGCAAAACAGAAATTACAGCCACGGGGGCCGAGGAAAACTCGTGAGAAATAACATTTTAAAATGCTGCATTGGCGGCCGGGCGCGGTGGCTCAAGCCTGTCATGCCAGCACTTTGGGAGGCCGAGGCGGGAGGATTGCTCGAGGTCAGGAGTTCGAGACCAGCCTGAGCAAGAGCGAGACCCTTGTCTCTACTAAATATAGAAAGAAATTAATTGGGCCAACTAATATATATAGAAAAAATGAGCCGGGCATGGTGGTGCATGCCTGTAGTCCCAGCTACTGGGGAGGCTGAGGCAGGAGGATCGCTTGAGCCCAGGAGTTGGAGGTTGCTGTGAGCGAGGCTGACGCCAGGGCACTCACTCCAGCCTGGGCAACAAAGCGAGACTCTGTCCCCAAAATATAAATAAATAAATAAAATGCTTCATTGGGTACAAAGGACATAAGTGGACGGGAAGGCCCCTCGCCTTGGGCAAGTCCAACAAACCCTTACCACATGGTCACCAAGAGGCTGGACGTGGCTATCAGCTCTGATGTTTGTCACTTTGAGTTTTTCTTCCTTCACAACTACGGAGTTTTGTTTTCTCTGTTCACGAACTTAGTGATTGTCCACCCTGGGAACTTCTGTTACTGTATCCTCATTCAATCCTGCCTACAACCTCGTACGTGTTATTCTTATACCCTAAACTCTATTCTTGTACTCTAAAACAGGGGTCCTCAAACTACAGCCCACGGGCCACATGTGGCCTGCCTAGCACATTTATCTGGCCCGCTGGGTGTCTTTGCCGCCGCTGCCTGTCCTGCTTAGCAGCCAACTCGTCCCGGGCCCGCAGTGCGCACTCCCCAACGGTCTGGGGGACAGTGACCTGGCCCCCCCTGTTTACAAAGTTTGAGGACCCCTGCTCTAAAACGTGCTTGAGGTCACACGACTAACCAGGGCAGTTCCTGGTTTTCTCCCGGTGGCACGGGGCACACGCTCGATAAGTATCTGACGGCTAAATGAACAAATGCACACGTGAGTGAATTAGTGAAGTTGTCGGTTCCTTTCTAAACCCACAAAGTTTTCGTTACCTTAGATTCCTTCTGCACGTTATCTTTTTAATATACGTTGTCTGAGAATCTTTGAAAATGAGTCATACACAAAGAATCAGAAACGAGCAAGACTTATATTCCATCTGTATGCAGTACTGTAAGAGCCACAGTGCCCTGCCCTGCTTGGACTCCCAGAATCCAGCAACTAAAGGGTCACACCTAGCTCAGCGGGGGGTTTGGGGGGGGGTGGCCTGCTCCCAGGCTTGGGCTAAGGAAAGTTCTGGATGGGTTGGTGTTGTCCACACAGCGCAGCACTCCTGGAAGGAAGTAACTTCTCCTGCAATTTCAGTTTCTCCCTCTGCACAGAAGCAGAGTGTTGGACCAGACCTGGCGGCCAACGATTCCTCCAGCTCAAACGTCCTATCGTCCTATGAGCAGAGGAGACGTGGGAAGCGGGGACATAGAGAGCCAAGTCCAGAGTGACACGAGCAGGAACTAACCAGGGCCTCAACCCCAACGCCAGCAGTGACTTTCAAATTTAGCCGAGCAATCTGAGCCACTTGGAGCACCATTAAGACCACTGGTTCTTGTTCCATCCCATTTGCCTGGGAGAGAGGGGTCTGTTTGTTTCTCTAAAGAATTGGCGTATGTGTCTAAAGCGACTTTTAAGGCTTATTACCCTGGGTTACCAACCAGGGCTCTGGGATGGAAGCTTGGGGCTTGGGCAGAAGATGGATCCCTGCAGGTGCATGCATGAATACCCAAAGGAGGGGTGCAGAAGCAGCTGGAAGAGAGAAACCAAAGTGGCACGGTCCCACAGCGACCTTCGGAAGAGCCGATCCGAGCTGGCAGGCTCCTGCTCCCTCAGATTTGATTGACTGATCAGGAGCAGGTTGAGCAGGGCGGATTGATCAGGAGCAAGCAAGACCCAGAAGGAAACCCAAAAATATTGGCCCTGGGGATTCCAAAAATGGTACCTAAAAGGCCCCAGTCTCCGTAACCACTAGAACCGAAATTAAGCTTTTTTGCAAAAATTTAAGGCATCTTCTGTGGTCCTCGATCTTCATAGTTTTGAGATTCATTCTTTGTGTTTTTAATAGGATTTGCCCAGAAAATCAGGCGTCCTTTCACTTGGGTAATTCATTAAAGAAAAAAAGAACCTTGGAGGATGTTTTTGATTGACAGCGCTGAGGTGTTCTTTCTCTCTTTCTTCCACACGCAGTTCTGTGCAGAGAAAACGGCTCGTGACACAAGACAGACAAGCAGGTGTCTTCGCTGGGGACTAGCTGTGACATCCTGGCAAACAACTTCCTCTCTGTAAGTCTCGGCTCCTTTCCCAGGTACAAGGGAGAGATAAGAACGGTTCCCACCACCACGGAGGTTTGTGATAAACATTAAGTGAGCCAGTGTAGACAAAGTTCTTTGCACAAAGCTAGTAGAGAATAAGACCATCATGAACAGTAGTTTTGTAAACTGTTGGCTTGCAGCCACTTTAGGGCAGAAGAACATCACGAAGGGTCGTTGTTCAATGAGTGAATCAGTGAAAATATTATTTCAATGTCTTTTGAACATATATAAATAACATGGAAGTGGAGGAATCACCCGATTTCCTTTCTATCACATATTACCTACACTCTTATACATGGATAAAGCATGTAGTTGTTAATGCAGATTTGGAAAGTCAAGAAGTAAAGGTTAGTGGGGTTTTTTTTAATTTATATTTTAATTTTTTTAATATTTTTTAATTTTTATAGTTTTCTTCTCTATTTCTTTTCATGTGTGGTGCTGAAGGAGTGTTTTTTGTTTTTTTTTTTTCTTTTTTGAGACAGAGTCTCACTCTGTTGCCCAGGCTAGAGCACCGTGGCATCAGCCTCGCTCACAGCAACCTCAAACTCCTGGGCTCAAGCAATCCTCCTGCCTCAGCCTCCCGAGTAGCTGGGACTACAGGCATGCGTCACCATGCCCGGCTAATGTTTTTTATATATATATATATATATATTTTTTTTTTTTAGTTGGCCAATTCATTTCTTTCTATTTTTAGTAGAGACGGGGGTCTCGCTCTTCTTGCTCAGGCTGGTCTCGAACTCCTGACCTTCAGCAATCCTCCCGCCTCGGCCTCCCAGGGTGCTAGGATGACAGGCGTGAGCCACCGTGCCCAGGAAAGGTCAGAGGTCTTGCGAGCATGGTCCGATAAATGTGAAAACTGTCTTGTCCATTAATCTTGCTGGTGCCTGGCAGTCTTGACGTCTCAAATGCTGCTGGGACTAGGACTATTATTTCTGATGTTTCTAGGTTTACTGTTCCCCTCTCCTCCCCATGCCCCTGGCTACTCGGTCCTACCTCAATGACCGGGTGCAGCGGTTAGTTCTACTCTGTCTAGCCCTGGTATAAGAACAGAGCTCCGAACGGTAAAGCCAAACGTCTTAGGATGCTACACCCTCAAATGAGGCTACTTCCAGGCTATGAGCAATCAACGTTATCTTTTATCAAAGGAGCCACCTTAGGAATAATAATTCCAGGAGGGAACAGGACACCATGCACTGTCACACCAGAACAACCCCATACAGGCATAAGGCGAAGCAAGTGACCATTTGGGAAGCATGTAAGGAAATTCCCAATGGATCCTGAATTTCTGGTCTTGTCTGGAGACACCAGGAAGACTTCAAGATGCTATTTCATTTGGGGAAGCAACTCTTAAAAACAAAGGAAAGGGAGAAGGATGGTTTTAGAAACAGGAAGTCCAAGCATTCTTTTAAAAAGCATTGTAACAAACCCCGTAAAACGCAAGACCAAATGGAGGAGCGGTTTCCAATGAGAAGCTACCATCGAGCAGAGAGTAACCGGGTTTCAGAGACAGCGAAGGGTTGTGGATTTGGACAAGACTGTGGATTGCAAAACACAGACATAAGCTTTCCCAGGTGCCCAGAATGACATACCCCTGCCAAGAGCCAGGCACCGTTAGCATGAAGCACCCAAGAATCGGGCCAACATAGAAAGAAATCTAGCGGTGGGCACACAAGGATTTGATAGGAGCCTGATAATGCAGCCTCAGAGTCCATTCCTATATTTCCTGAAGCCATAGAATGCTAGCGACACTCACGTTGATACGGAAAATTCCAGCAAACACATAAAAGTTTCTGTGATTTCCATTTGTAAGACTTTTTTGGAAACCTTAAATGGTAAAAAAACAAAAACAAAAACAAACAAACAAAAAAAACCAAGTAGAGACACCAAATGAATAGAAGACACCAAGAAAACACAGGCAATTTTCTGATTAAAGACACTGCTAGCACCGCCTCAAGCAATGACTCAAGCTTAATGCTAAACATTAGCAAATTCAACCGTAACGTCTGTCCCCCCCCATAATATGCTGAAATAAAAATAAAATAAAAAATTAGTGACTTCAACAGAAGAGGCGGCTCTGCCTATAGAGGGCATGGAGAACTCACTGCTTTTGTAGTTCGAATCCTGACCTTGCAAGTTCTTAGCTGTGCAACCTCAGCTAAGGTGCCGAACCTCTCTGTAGCCTCCCCACCTGTGCAGTGGGGGGCAAACCCACCTCGCTCCAGGACAGAGCGAGTGACAACATGGCAGCGAATCAACACATCTCGCAGTTCTGGGATCTCTGCGTCGGCAAGAAGCGAATACCTGGGGTGCCGCAGGCATGCCTTCCCGTTGCGGGCTCTCTCTGCGGGGTGCTTCGCCGGTAGATGATGTGAGGTTTGTTCTGCTCCTCTGTGTCTTCTTGCTCACCCGTGGACAGCAGTGGCTCGATAAAATAATCCCCATCGTGGGACCGGAATGTGCCCAGCTGCAAATGAAGAGAGAGGAGAGGTTGATTTAATAACACTTAGCCATGGGGAGGGAAAAAGAAAACAAAGGAACATTTCCAAGTACAGACTGTGTACCCTTTTACCCGGTCCTTTCCCCAAGAGGCCTGCCGAAACCGAAAATGCTGCGATTTAAGCAGATAAGCAGTTTGTTTTCGCTCTTTGCCTTATCAGGACCTTGTTCGTGACTTGACTGTAGTGTGTTGCACCTGCTATCCAAGTCTATCTCTAAAAATACTGCCCTGCTACTCAAGTGCTGGTGACATTATTCCTACCGTATTTCCCAGAAAAATGAGCCCTCCCCATAAAATAAGCCCCGGCAGGATGTCTAAGCATTTGCACAGTAGAAGCCCTACCCCGAAAATAAGCCCTAGTGATGGGCGTGGCTATGAAAATCAGCACAGGTGCTGGGCGTGGCTATGAAAACAAGCCCCAGTGGTGGGCGTGGCTATGAAAACAAGCCCCAGTGATGGGCGTGGCTATGAAAATAAGCCCCAGTGGTGGGTGTGGCTATGAAAATAAGCCCCAATGGTGGGCGTGGCTACGAAAATAAGCCCTAGTGATAGGCGTGGCTATGAAAATAAGCCCTAATGATAGGCGTGGCTATGAAAATAAGCCCTAGCGATGGGCGTGGCTATGAAAATAAGCCCTAGTGGTGGGCGTGGCTATGAAAATAAGCCCTGGTGATGGGCGTGGCTACACAACGCATCTGCACAACCCATGCATGTTGTCGCAGAGCGGGAAAGAACACGAGCAGCCCTTCTCATCTGCCCCATGACAGCTCTAGTGCTCCACAGGAGAGATCGGGGCCAGTGGTTCTAAAGGAAACAGAGTCGCAAGACATTCAGGATGGGATTCGGGGTTTGGAGAGTGATGATCATGTTCCAGAAGAAGACGACTTCACTCTATTTGAATCAATGTGGATGGCTGTACCGTACTTAAAAACAAACAAACAAAAAAACACATCCCCTGAAAATAAAGCCCTAGGGTGTCTTCTGGAGGAAAAATAAATATAAGACCCCGTCTTATTTTTGGGGACACACGGTACAGGCTGATGGACGGAGCCTTTCTATATTAAGGGAGCCTGGAAACTCAGGGCGGAATGTGAGCTGCGGAGGGAAAAGCAGCCCAGTGCCCCCCTCTTGCTGACTGCAATTCAGGAAGCACGTGGTCTCCACAAGGCACTCACGGTGGAGCCACCTGGAACCCTGGCCTGTGGTCCTCTGATCACCCCTTTCCTTTGCAATAGCAGGGCAACAGCTCAATAAGCTTTGGAGCCAGGCTGCTCTCAGGGTCCAGTTTCAGCTCCATGACCCAGCCACCCACCTCGGGCAAGCTTCTTAGCTGTGCTGAGCTTCAGGTCCCTCATTTATCAACAGGGACAGAGAAACTTACTGTAAAGACTTATTGCACAGATTAAATGGGACAGTGCACATGCGCTGCTCAGCAGGCTGCCTGACACCTTGCAAAGGCTTAGAACACATTAGTGGTTTCCCGTGGCGCTGGTGCTAGCCCCTAACCAACAGGATGCGATTGGCTTTTACCAGTCATTCCCAGCACCTTAAAAAAGGTGACTCTGGCTGAGCATGGTGGCTCACGCCTGTCATCCTGGCACTCTGGGAGGCCGAGGCAGGAGGATCGCTCAAGGTCAGGAGTTTGAAACTAGCCTGAGCAAGAGTGAGACCCCGTCTCTACTAAAAATAGAAAGAAATTAATTGGCCAATTAACATATATATATATATAGAAAAAATTAGCCGGGCATGGTGGCGCATGCCTGTAGTGCCAGCTACTCGGGAGGCTGAGGCAGGAGGATCGCTTGAGCCCAGGAGTTGGAGGTTGCTGTGAGTGAGGGCTGATGCATGGCACTCACTCTGGCCTGGCAACACAGGGAGACTCTGTCAAAAAAAAAGAAAGAAAAGAAAGGAAAGAAAGGAAAGAAGAAGGAAGAAGGAAGGAAGGGAAGGGAAGGAAGGGAAGGGAAGGAAGAAGAAGGAGAAGAAGGAAAGAGAAGGAAGGAAGGAAAGGAAAGGAAGAAGGAAAGAAAGAAAGAAAGAAAGAAAGAAAGAAAGAAAGAAAGAAAAGAAAAGAAAGAGGTGACTCTTTCAGTCCCTGCCTTCCCGCATACCCACATGTTTTGCAAATGATAAATGATGCCTTGAGGCTGAACCACCCAAACCCAACATCACAAGAAGGCTGAAAAATTCCCCTTGCCATGTTGGTGAGTGGTTTGTTCAAGAGAAGAAATCAAGCCCTTCTCCTCCTCGGTCCCATTTCCCATACTGGGAAAAAAAAAAAAAAATCAGAGTCCTTCCACCCTTCCCTGGGCATAAGAGGAATGAGGGCCCTGAATGCCAGCAGCTCACATCTGCATCAGGGCCATCCGGGCACTTTTTAGAAATGCACACAACTCTGCTCTAGCCCAAGTCGGATCTACTGAAAGAAAATCTCCGGGGGTCAGGACCAGGAACTGACATTCTAATGGGCTCCCGCCAGAGTACGCTTCTGCATGACAAAGGAGAAGTGGTAGGTTAAGGTACTGGCTCCCCAAACCGGCCTGCTAGGCTCCAAAACTGCCTAGGAAGTTCGTTTATTTTAAATTAGATTTGGGGCATGACAGATTCAGAACGTACAGAGGTGGCACCTGGAACCCTTTTTTTAAAGAAGTTCTCCGCCTTGATTCAAGAGCCAGTGGTTCAAGGAGAGAACAGCTATGGTGAGGTCAAGCTAAGAGACAGAGTAGCTGGTTGCCAGAGAAGGAGCCATTTAATGCATTTATTGTCACCCAGGCACCTCTGCCGGTTATTTTCTGGCCTAATGGTTAAGAGCACATGTCAGAAAGGCCGGTTAGAGTCCCAACTCCGATACTTACTAAGGTGTTTCCCTGAAAATAAGCCCTACCCATAAAATCAGCCCTAGCAGGATGTCTAAGCATGTGCAATAGAAGAAGCCCTACCCTGAAAATAAGCCCTAGTGTTGGGCGTGGCTATGAAAATAAGCTCTGGTGGTGGGCGTGGCTATGAAAATAAGCCCTGGTGGTGGGCGTGGCTATGAAAATAAGCCCTAGTGCTGGGCGTGGCTACACAGCACATCTGCACAACCCATGCATGTGTCGCAGAGCGGGAAAGAACACGAGCAGCCCTTCTCATCTGCCCCGTGACAGCTCTAGTGCTCGACAGGAGAGATCGGGGCCAGTGGTTCTAAAGGAAACAGAGTCGCAAGACATTCAGGATGAGATTCAGGGTTTGGAGAGTGAGGATGATGTTCCAGAAGAAGACGACTTCACTCTATTTGAATCAATGTAGATGGCTGTACTGCACTTAAAAAAAAAATAACACATCCCCTGAAAATAAAGCCCTAGGGTGTCTTCTGGAGGAAAGATAAATATAAGACCCTGTCTTGTTTTCCGGGAAACACGGTAGCTGTGAGACGCTGGGCAAGTTTCAAGCTCTGAAAGCCTCAATGTCCTCAGCAGCAAAATGGGTTGTTTTGAGGATTGAGTGCTTGGGAGAATTTGGATGAGATAATACAGACGTAAAATACTTATTGCAGTTATCGGGCACAAAGTAGGAGCTCAATAAATGACATCAGTAGGATGTCAGAATTAATTTTGCTGTCAATTCACAGAACAGCTGGTGGGCCCAAGAGTTTTCTTTTCTTAAAGTGACCATGTATTCAAATATATTAATATCTACTAAGAATACATAAGGCTGTAACATAAAAAAGAGATTAGGTCGATGTTGAGTTGCTGGGCCCAAGAGGTATCTTTTCTTGGTTTAAGTGACCATTTCTGCAAATATATTAATATCTACTAAGGACATACAAGGCTGCAACATGAAAAAGAGATTAAGTCGATGTTGACCTTGCTTGCCAAGGAGAAAGGGTTAGGACGTGTGTACCAGGAACTCTGATGCAAGGAGAACCTTGTGAGCATCGTAAGGGAGGTGCAGGTGAGTGTCTATGCAGGTAGACAGGGAGAGATGGCATCGGCCTGGAGGATTATGAAAGGTCTCCGGGGCAAGAAGACACTTCCAAGGAAGAGTGGCATTTGAGCAAGGGCAGCTGTCACAGTAAATCTAAAAAGGCACAAAGGCAATGGAAGAGGATTGGGTGGGGGCGGGGAGAAGGTCTAGCAGGAAAGGAGAAAGGTTGGAAAAGAACCCCAGGGGTGGAAATATTTATCAGACATCAGTCCTAATGAGAGAGGGAGAGACACAGAAGTAAAAGGGGCTAGAATCAGGGTAGGTGAGCGACCCATCTGGTGGGGATGGGGGTGGGGGTGGGGGCGGAGCTGGCACAGCCCACTCTAAAGATTTTTCTGGAAGACTGCTGGGCAAAGATCTAGGAACAGCATGGCCCTCCTGCTACAGAATCGGTAAGGGGAAGTCTTGCGAGGAAAGATAAATTCCAGAAGGAACACAAAGGGGCAGGGGTTTGGGAGCTGGATTAAGTGGCTGAAGCCACAAACAGCCAGCATGCAAGTATTTGGGCTCTTTTCCCCAAAAGAGGCGGATTGCAAATTAAACGCAGTAGAAACGCAGTCACCACTGTCCAGGCAGTCGTTTCAGAAGTCCCCGGGGGGTTCGCAGTCCCCCAAAGAGACCACGTGCGCGTGACCACCCAAAACTGCCAATGGCAATGCAGGTCCCGAGCAGCAAGATCTTTACAGGGCCGCTGGGGCCACCAGTGGGCTGCGCCCCGCGCGCGGAGGCGGGCAGAGAGGAGGAGTAAAGGCTGTTTACAAACTCGACGCGCACACGCTGCCCTATCCCTGGGGTCCTTGAATTGGGGGTCACTATCTTGGAATCCGGATGCTCTGGGCTTAAGACGCCCGGCTTGTGCCCACCGGGGCCATAACCTTTCTAAGACCGGCTGGATTCCTGAGCTCTAGTCGCCCCGGATCTTAGGGCGACTGTGACTCACCGCGGCACCCCCTCCTCCCTCGCCGAACTGCGGTCTCCGCCCACCCCCAAACCTTCTCAGCCGCGCACTTCGGGCGCCACTGCTCGGGGCGCCTTGTGGGCGCTAAAAGGGACTTATCCCTTTGCCCACGTCCCAGAGGGCTAACCCCCCACCCTCCCAGCCTCCAAGCCTGCCTCGCCCCCCACCGGACCGTCCCCCGGCGAGGCAGAGGAGGATGCAACATCCAGATCTGGAACTTTCAAGACCCGCCAACGGCGGCGTGCGGAGAGGGTGGCCGAGCGAGCGACCCGGGTGAGTATGCAAGCCCCCCGCTTGAGCGAGGTGGCGGGGGCGGAGTGTGGGTGCTCAGAGGTGAGTGGATGCGTGACGGGGTGCAGAGGCCGAGAACCGATCGCGCGAACCGCGCCGCGCGCCCGGGCTGGCCCCGGAAAGTTTCTGCGTCATTGCGCGTGGCGGGGACGCACGGCGCTTGGGGAAGCCAAGGACAGTGAGCGGGTCCTCAGATGTCGCGGGGAGGGAGGTGGCACATGCCCTGTGGGACCTCCTGGAGGGCAAGTGTGGGGGTCCGGAAGCGACTTAGACCCCCCGCAAAGAGGGTATGTGGCACGCTGGGAGGTGGCCGTCCCGCCCTCGCTCGCCTCCCAGGGAAATGCGCGCTCAGGCTCCCTCTCTCAGGCCCTGGGAACCCTCCTGGGGGCGCAGAAACCCCAGCGGGACGGAAATCGCGCCCGGGGAAGCCGCCCCGGGCTTTCTCCCACCATCGGGCGTCTCTCGGGCCACCCCGCCAGCAGGGTGCAGAGTCGCACCGCGCTGCGCCCCCGCCCGCCGCTTCCACCCTAATTCGAAGCGTCCGGGGCAGGCTCCGCCCTCCCCCCCGCCCCGGAGCCCTCGGCCCACCCTTCCGTGCCCGGGACGGGACCGGCGTCCTGTCCATCCAGCTCCGCCTCGGGGCTCCGGGCGCGCGAATCAAGGCCCCGGGGGGACGCGGGGACTCCAGATTGCGCGCCGCCCTCCGCGACCCGGGGGAGGGACGCCCGGTACCCCGGTGCCGGGGGGGGGGGGGGGGGGGGGGGGGGGGGGGGCGGTCCTCAGCCCCCTGTCCCCGACGCCCGGGCGCACCAGTAACGAGTCCGGCCCGCCCTGGGGCGGCCGAGATCGCTGCCAGGAACCGCGCGACCCCGGCGACTTTCTCCGAGTTTGGAAACCAACTTCCAGGCCGCGTCGCGGCGTTGGGGCAACGCGCAGCTCAGCCGGGTCCGGACCCCGGGGTAGAGGAAGCTCGGAAACATCCAGAACCCCCGCGGGTGCAAGCGCGCGCGCGCGTGCAGAGCTAGCCACCCACACCCGAGGGCGCACGCGGGGGCCTCGGGGACACCGGCCGGCGCCGCGAGGGGGGCCGGCGGGGAGGGCGCGCGCGCCCGCTTACCATGCCCGAGCAGAGGCTGATGACGGCCGTGTGCTCGGCCCTGGTGTTGACATGGCCCTTGTAGAAGCAGTGCTCCAGGGCCGTCTCCTCCTCCGAGTAGAAGCCGGTCTGGTTCGCCCCGGGCGCCCCGAGGAGGGTGACAGTGAACAGCGGGGCGATGAATCCGGAATGGGCGGTGAGGTTGAATAGAAACTGCTGGCCGAAGGCGGAGAGGCGGTAATGCGCCCGGGGGGAGGAGGAGGAGGAGGAGGAGGAGGAGGCAGGCCAGGGGTCAGTGGCAGCGTTAACGCTCCGTCGCCTTCTTTTGAAGTGCACGTCCGTGGGAAAGGGCTCTCCGAGGGCGTCCACGCGGACGGGAGACGCGATTTCGTACTCGCCCAGGGTCTCCAAGAGTTTCGCTGCGGAGAGGAACACAAGCAGCGTGACCCGGCGGCTCGCTCCGCCTCGTGTCCCCACTGAGAACGGAGCTGCGGACTTCTCACTTTGTCCTGACCTTACTTGCCAGGCTGTTCGAGAGTCAGTCCCTTCCCTCTTCTTAATCGGGGGTGGGGGTGGGGGGGTGGGGGGGGCAGATGATTTGCTGGGCACCTACTATGTGCCCGGGAACCGTGCTGGGCGCCCAGGATGCACCGTGCAGAGCGGGACAATGAGCAAGTCCAAAATATGCAACATATTTTGAGACCCTGCTAAATGCCCTGAATAAAATGAGCCGTGGCTGTCTGGTGCTCATGCCCACTAAGTAGCTTGGGTTTGGGGCTCGGGGGGGGGGGGGCGGGAAAGGGGACCGATCATCTGGGGGGTGGCCAGGTTCCTTTGCAGTGTCTGTCCCCCTGGCAGTCGGCTGGGATGACCCAAAGCAGGGAGAGGCTGCAAACCTGACAATTCTTTCTAGGAAAGCAGAGAGAGAGAGAGAGGGGGGCTCCCTCCGCGGCGGGGGTCCCCGCCCGGGAGCGACCTGGGGGACCCGAGCCCGGTTACCTTGCCTGGGGTGCAGCCGGTCCTTGCGCACGGCCGCCGCGGCGTCCGGGCTCCGCATCTCGGCCAGGTCCCGCAGCAGGAGCGTGAGCAGTGTGGCCCAGGGTACAAACTGCATGGTGCTCCACGCCCCTCCCCCTCCGTCCCCGCCTCGGCGACGCGGGGCAGCGGGCGTGCGGGGCGCGCGGGCCCGGCCCGCCGGGGACCTCAGGAGTGGCCGCGGTGCCGCCGCGAGGGTCCCGTGCGCGCCGGGCCGAGCACCGCCGCCGCCTGCCGAGCGCCGAGCCGCGGGAGGAGCCGCGGGAGGAGGAGGAGGAGGAGGAGGAGGGCTGGGGCCCGGCCGCCCGGCCGCATACTGCCCGGCGACGCGCGGGAGAAGGCGCGGGACGTGCGCTCCGAGGCGCGCCGGGCGCCCTGTGCCGGCCGGGCCGGCGCGGCGGCCTCTTGAATGGGGGGCTGGGGGGGCGGGCGCCCTCCGCCGCCCCGCGCCCGGTGCCGCCTCCAGGAGGGGCGGAGGGGAGGGGACAGCCGGCGAGCCGGCGCCGCCTCCTTCCCCTGCGCGCCCGGCCGTGCGGGCCTCGCCGGCTGCCGGGGGGCGGAGGCCGGGGTCCCCGCCGCCTCCCGGGGGGAGCCCGGGATTTCGGGGCCTCCCTGCCCCGGGATGGGGGTGGGGGGAGCCGAGAAGGTTCCCTGCCTTCCCGGGCGCGCGCGCGGCCCCTGCGCCCTCTCTCCCTTTCCAGTCCCCACGCCGCTCGGCCTCTCCGGCCCTGTCCCTCCTCCCCCTCTCCTGCCGCGGGGTCCCCCTCCGGTTCCCCTGTCTCCCCCTTTGCCTCCCCTTGCGTCCCCACCTCCCTCCACCCGTCCCCTTTTTGCGGCTTCTTGCAAGTGAAAGTGGCCCCGCTCGGGGGACCGTGCCTCCCCGCGTGCGCGCGCCGTCTCTCCCGGGACGGGACTTGGCACCTGAGCCCCCTCCCCTCCTCCCTCCCCATGCAGTCGCCCAGGTCCAGAGTTTTTAGAAACGGGGTTCTGAGTCCCGCAGCTCGGGGTGTGTTTCAAACTCTCAGCGTTTTTAAGCGCGTGCAAGTTTTGCAAAGTTTTGCAGCCGTGCTTTCCCGCGTTCCGACAGGGTCCGGAGCGTTCCGTAAGGTCCCCGGCCCAAAAAAGGTTAAGAGCAGCTCTGGGCAGCGACGAGGGGCGGGGACTTCGGCGCCCCGGAGTTCTCGGGGGTTGGAGGGTGGAGTGCGGAGTTGCAGCTCCCCCGGGGAAGCGCCCGGTCCCAGGAGGGATTTTGTCCATGACTTCCGCTCGCTTTGGAGCCTAAGAGATGCTTGGGGTGGCTCAAGGTGGGCACTTCAAGCTGACACCTATACCTCTCTACCTTGGGGTGCAATTTCAACGTCAGAAATTAAGACAGAGAGCAAGATGTGCATGGGAGAGAGAGAGAATTGTTTCATCCTGCATGGTTCAAAAGCACTTTTTCCATCACCAGCCCTCAGGAATATATAGGATGCATTCATTTCAAGAAAAACAAGATGGCAATATTGGTAAAAGCTACGACTCACAAATGCATTTTTGCCCAGACGACCAGGAGTCTCTGTTGCTTCGTGGGCTAGCACTCAGGACTAGAAATACCCAAGATTTTCAGTACCAGGGACCAAATAACAATATTGATCCTAGAAGTGCCAAGAAGTCTGGGAATATTGATATGCACATTTTTTGTCTCCTGGTGGAGGGGAAAAAATAACTTGGCAAGACTGAAATTTCCTAAAGAATTGCTAGCCCAAATGGAGTACTGCTGGAATTTCATAGTGAGTATGTAAAATGTAAAGATGGTAAAATAACAAACACCTGTATGTGCACAATGAGAGATTTTTTTTAAAGGATGGCATTTGAATCTCGAAGCTTTAAATTAATTCACTAAAATGCATTTCTTCTAATACACAGTGTTTTCATTACGTAATAAAATTAATCAGAATCACAGTGTCTCTGAGTTTGGGGAGTTTAGCAAAGAACAGAAAAATGCAAGAAAACAACCCATTAACTGATTCCTATGGAAAATATTCTAGTGCTTCCAGTGTAAAATGAGTCAAAAATGTAGCACTTTCCATTAAACAATTTTCCCCTCTTTCAGTTCAAACCCCTCCTGATAAAGAGAAGTTAAAATATAAAAATGATTCTGTGTAAACTCAGAAGCTGCCTTCTGTACTCTTTCTCCTTTGCTTCTTTTCTGGCATTTTGCTTTAAAAGATGAACTTTTTTGTCAACAGTTCTTAAAACTTGACCCTGATACAACCCAATCATTTCCACAAGAACTGGTAGGAAGGAAAGATACAAGATCTCTTTCGGACTTCCTGGGTGGACCAAGAGCCTGGGTTTCCGAATTTCTTTCTTCCTCAATGAGTCTGCTCATCTTTTCTTCGATGTGTTAGCTCACATCGAAGAATAAATGTTAAAGAATAAATAAATAATAAATGAATAATAATAAATAAGTGAATAAATCTTAAAGAATCGTAGGAAGATGTGTTTTAAATCATGAGAAGCGAAAAGGACAATGGAGCTGAGTAATTTAGGTCAAAGTCCTTTGTCCAAATAATAATAATAATAACCTTTTATTTGAGTACTTACCATGTCCCCACTCCATATGCTAAAAAATATACAGCGTTTGATTTGATTCTCACAAGAGCCATTGGAGGCAGGCACTCTCAGTAATTTCATTTTCCTCGTAAGGATGAGGTCTAAATTATTAGTGGTCTAAATTATTAGTGAAGCAGTTTGACCAGCGTCTTCCATCTAGTGAATGGTTCAGGTTCAGGGTTCAGATTCTGTCTCAGGATTGCGATTTAGTCCAAGTTCATCATCATTACCAAACAGAATGAATAAATGATTAATCGGAAGTGTTGCTGGATTTGGGGAGGGTTGGCTTGGGGGAGAGAGTGGCTAACATCATTTGTAGAATTGCCTCAATTTTGTATTCTGCATGTCATTTTTCTCTGGTCCCCTCCCTTCTTCTGAGGCTGAGTATTTAATGGTAATCATCTCAGATAGCTCATTGATATTTTACAACTCTTTCCTCAGCACTCGCTCGTACATAGTAGGTGCTCAAGAAATATTTAATGAGCAACAAATAAATATAGTCCTTTCACTTCGGCTCAGGTGTGCTAAAATGGCTTCTTCATTATGTATATAGAAAAACCCCAGTTTTGAGGTTGGTTCTATAAATAGTCCTCCCGACTCTGGGAGGGAAAGGTAGATTTTAAAATAAATTGGCCCCTCAGAAAAGTTTACGCTGGAAGAATAATCAAAAAACTTTTGGGGGGGGTAACCTAGAGCTGACAGGGGGACCATTTCTAGCCCAATTTCTTCTCCTAGGGCTTTCCTGGAATTGAATGTTGTTGTAGGTCAAGTGGAAGTCTTCTTTGGCCGATCTTTTGTGAACATTGGATCCCAGAGGAGTGACGATTGACATTAGTCCCTCGGGAGAGATGCTCTGATCAGTGGGAATGAGGGACATGACGTCACAGTGACTCTGTGTGCCCAGTGCTACTGGAAACAGCAGGAAGGAGGGGAGAAGCCAAGCCATGCGTTTCAACAGAGAGGAAAACCCACACCCAAGTGATGGGAAGGCACCAGAAACCAGAATCAGAGCTGAATAGTTTTCTGATGGCTCAGCAGCAGCAGGATGTGATTTCGGGAACAGATAACCCCCTCCAGGTACCTGGCAGCACTGGTTTCTGGGGAGCAGAGAATCACCAAGTAGCTCTGCGAACCTGGGCCTAAGGAATCTTCCCGTGTGTTCTAGATCACGAGAAACGACAAGAACACTTTAGAGCTAACTAAATAACTCGTGTGAAAATCGTTTGCCCAAATCCTCATCATCTTTTTATTGAGTACTGACCGTGTTCTAGACCATGCATGCGTGCAGTGTTTTATTTGCATGATCAGGGGTGGGGAGAAACTGTCATCTTTTCTTGCCACGTGAATGACCTTAGTTTTTTTTTTTTATAAAGTCTTCCAACTGCTGATTTCAAGCAACGCATAGGGTTGAGGAAATGGTTGTTATCATTGATGATAATAACATCAGACTCTCTTCATTGAGTTCTTCCTAGGTGCTAATTATTTCATCTGCATAGCGGTGGTCCTGCCACCTGGGTTTTGCTCTCCCCGTTTTATCTCTTAGGAAAATAAGATTGATCAAGGTTAAGTGCCTTGCCCAGCATCACGGAGGCAGGAGGTACACAGTTGGGATTTTCACTGGGGCTGATTTACCTCCCAAACTTGCCACGATCTCCATGAATCCGAGTAGCTTTGGAACATAAAGACTTTCTCCTAATTAACTTTGATGATTCAGCGTTCATATTTGGCCTAATGAATATGATCGTTATTTTTTTTTTCCACTAGCTTTTAAATCTAGAGTTCTAACTCGTTTCTCTTGAGCCTGCCTGGAAGTCATAAGTTCTGACTTTGGACGTGGCTTTAGGTAGCGCATGGCTAGCTTCTGGCAATGTCTCTACAAAGTTGGCACCATTGTCAGCCTGTTCATTCACCAGGTTCTTCTTGCTTGTTTGTCAATCCCCAAAGACCGTGCTTTATATTATTGCCCAGGCTTGGGAGCCCATACGAATCCCACTAATGTTTGCTTTGAGGTCTTGGGGCCTCAAATCCTTATCTTGCTGTCTCTAGCAGTAGCCCTTGGAATGAGACCTTCAGCCATGAGGTTCAACATCATACCTGCAAATGGACTTTGGAAGTGCCAGGCTTCTAGCTTAGATCCCAGCTGCTCTTAAACCGAAGCTAAATTAGATAGCAACACAATGTGTGCAAATACAACTTCATTATTTTCTAAACTGCAGATTTGACATAGACGGTTCTCAGAGATACGCTAGCATGGAATCTGGTAATTCTCAGAGCATTTTTTTTTAAATGCCCCAGAATGCTATAGGACCCCTGAGCCCAGAACTTTCCCTGTCCTAGTTTGGTTCACATTTCTTGTTGCTTGGTGTCCTTTGTTACACTTTCATTTGATTGATTGATTGATTGATTGATTGTAGAGACAGGGTCTCTCTATGTTTCCCAGGCTGGTCTTGAACTCCTGGCCTCAAGCAGTCCTCCCACCTCAGCCTCCCAAACCTTTGTTAGACTTTAACTAACATAAAGGGCAAAGTGCAAATCTATCTCCCT